GAAAATAGCTAAAGAAAAAAGAGACACCAAACAGTACGTCTAACAAGATATTGCTTATTGGATTGTTGTAATAGAATTGAGAATGAAGTCGAACGAAAAAATGCAAAAAAGGAAATCATATTGTATGTTGATCAGTGAATAGGACTGGGAAAATTAAAAAACTAATGGATCGAAAAAAAACGGAACAAAGTAAAAAATGTATTCTAAGCTACTACATGAAGGTTTCTAATTAAGTTAAGATACTGGCTGAAGAAAAAAAGACGAGAGGAAATAAATCGAAATACATACCAGTTAAGGTATGATATTGATGAAATTGAAAAACTAATCACAGGAAATAAATACGAAAATAATCTAAGTTGGAAAATATATAAATCGATGGGCTGTTCTAATATTAGTGAGAAAAGAATTGAAGACAAAGAGACCAAAACAAGGAAACTAAATTGCTTATTGTTCAACGAATATCACAGATGAAATTGAAAACTGCTGCAAAAAAAAACCTAGACATAAAGCTGGGAATCGAAATGTATACCCATTCAATAGCTATTATTTATTTAATTGAGAAACTAATCAAAGAAAAAATAGATACCTAAAAGCACGTGTGACAAGGTATTGCGTAATGGATTGTTGTAATAAAATTAAGAGAGAAATCGAGCGAAAAAAAAACAAAGAAGCAAATAATATTCAATGTTGATCACTGAATAGGACTGGTAAAACTGAAAGCTGATCCAACGAAAAAAAAAGCGGAAAAGAAGATAATCAAAATATATACTAATTCAGTTGTCATTACTGCAGAAACTCGAAAACTAATCCAGGCGAAAAAAGACGAAAAGCACCCGGCTGTACCTGATATTAGTAATGGAATATTCTTGATGAAATTGAGAAAGTGAATGAACGAAAAACAAAACGACTTGTATTAAACCGAAATTTATATTAGGAAATGAACTCTGATTATGATAATCAGAAACTAATCGATCGAAAAGCAGACGAAAAGTGAAATATAGTCTGACACTAGTGAATGCATGCGTCTAGTTAAATTGAGATAGTAATGGGAGGAAAAAAAGAGGAAAAACCAATGAGAGACCGTATGGTTCAACAATAGAAGAGTTTGAAATTTTCATGAAATATGAGAAATGAAAAGTTACTGAGGAGGTGTTAGTTATGCAATGTATTGTTTTAAGAGTGGTGGATGCCGAACTGGGTGGTGATTGAAAAGAAATAGGAAACGGAAATGGATAAGTCGCTGAAAATATCGCTAAAAGAGGCTTGAAGATTGACTTGGATAAGTGAGCAAAGAAAAAATGGAAAAGTGATTGGTCGGGTAGCACGTTTGTCAGTGGAAGATCTTGTTTGAATAAGATGGCTTATTGAAAGAAGAAAGAAGAGTAGGAAGGACACAACAACAGAAATTCTTTTTAGGTCTTCGTGTAAGGTAATCGAAATGATTATTGTATTTATCGGATTTGACGAGTAAAAAGACGATTTATTTTAGTTGAGTTTCATATCTTTGTATTTGACTATGTTTTTTTAGTAAAGGAAAAATAATCAATAGAGATAAATAAAAATTCAAGAAAAGTAAGGTATCACATTTTGAGAAAGTTTTGTTCGAGAAAATTCATGAATGAAAAGATTTTTGGACGATTCGAATTAATTATTGAGATAAATATAGATTACAATCTTCGTTTTCGTTTTGGTCTTGAAATGAAATTCGAATTAGTTAGATTATTGAGTGGAATGGAATTTGTAGGTGTAAACTGATTATCATTTGTTTCAGCATTAGTCAAACATGTGAAATTCTGATTATCCGATATTGAGTTCTTTTTTTGTTTTTTTCGTTGTGAGTTGAAGTCGGATGATGATGTGTCTTCGATGTTGTTACTAATTCTATATAGAACAAAATTGTAAATATTGTGAAGTAGATCAATGAGAGAAGTAGAGCTTACTCAATTGTATCAACCGGTGCATTTGAAATGAAATTATGATTATCATTTGAAGATTTCGTTTCTGATAATTGACTCAAAACAAGAGAATTACCTTGGACTGAAGAATCACTTGGTGAATTTTTTGCAAATTGTGATTGTCGTTCGGATTCATCTGTAAACGTTGTTGAATCATTTGATGGAGAATTCGGTATTATTTGATGTTGCTGTTGCAAATGTTTTTGCTCAGCATAAATGTCTATATTTTTTTCTTTGATCAAGATACGAACAGAATTAGTTAAATATCTTGTTTCAGCGTGCAATGCTGCATAAAGAAGTCGAATTGTTCGACTTTTTTTATCAAATGTTAATTCAAATATTGTGTACATGGCAATTAGAAGTGCAATTGCATCATCGGGTGAATTTGTTGAAAGAATAGAATTGAAATCCACATAAACATGAATAACGTCATTAATACAAACTAATGTTGGATATGGTGTTGGTGGTTCCTACACAAATATCTGTTTTTAAAATTTCCAAAATTGGAAAAAAATACTACAACAATCTACAATTTCATATTATGATAAAGATGTTTATTGAGTGTTCGATATTTCAATATAGCAGTGTGTTCGTTTTACAATTGTAGGTAAATCATTTAGGTACGATTTGCTAATATGAGTGGTATGAATGGATAAAGACTACATGTTGAATTAAGGACAAATGAATCATGAAAATTATAGGATTGGATAAAATGAACACCTATTACAATTGTCGTAAGTTGGAATTCCATCTATGCACTTTTCTTTTATGAATCATTCATTCATTGGTATTCATTAGCATAGACTAATCTTAGATCTTCTGGTACTCGAACTTTTAATATAAATGACTCAGTTATCAATCTTAGATATTATAGCAAAAAAAACTTACATTATCACAAAATATATGTTGAATTGTTTCACCAAATTCCCTACATAAGATTTTCATCAATCGAATTGGAGGTGAATCTAAAATCAAATATAAATCTTTCAACTATATATTAATCTGTTTATGTACCTGTAATAAATGCTGGTGTTGGAAGCATTTTGTTGAGTAATGCAGGTACTTGTCGTCGTACTGCTGCAGCTAAATCAATTTTCATCAATAGTTTGATCTCTTCAAACACCTGTTATAGAAATAAATTTATTTAGCACAATAAATTAATAAAAGACAAATTAATTTACCAGCAACGAACTTGAATAACCAGAAAAATCTTTGAGAATGTCTGCTGTTGATCGATTTCTTATGGAATGACGACGAAAATGAAGCGTTTCTTTCCATAATTTTAATTGAGTATGAACATCAATTTGAGATATATCTCGTAATTGATTTGCTTTTGTTTGAAAATCAAATGACATTTCGTCGTTATATGGTGTAATCATCATCTAGAAGAAAAAGATGAAGTAACAAAGAATATTTCGTTTTAATTTACTTGTTTATATCGATCTCTTTGTGCTGTTTCATCAAGTCTTCGTTTAACAGGACGTCCAGATCCTGGTCGTGAGTATTTTAAACGATAATCTTGAACAATAATATTATCTAAATTTTCAGTACGTTTACGTTTTAATTTTGTTTGTAATGCATCTTTCCATATTGTCTATGTGGAAGAAAAATAATCTCATTTATAGCTATTAAATGAACTTACGATATTTTCTTTTGTTAAAGGTAGTTTTAAAAACTTGACAATTGCATTACCAATTTTATCAAATTGTGTTAGTGATGGATAACTAATTGCAAAGCAAAAAAGTCAATGACTGAATCGAGAGTGAAACTCCATAATTATTGGAAAAGCTTTTGCTAGAAACTGATTTTTAGTCTTATATAGACTATTCTATTTAAGATTAGAATACGTACTAAAAATGAACGTAAGAACTTGTCCAATGGTTTCACTATAATACTTACTTTAACTATTAGTACAAATTATCTCCTCATATGCTTTGAAAACAAAATTTTCATGAAAACTTTTTTCTCATACATCTTAGAATATACATTGTCAACTACATAAAGTGTATATTTTGATAACCCACTCAGTGAAATAAAAGATAAAATCGTGGAGATTTCTACAGCAAAGAAAGATTAACATCATCAATAGAAGTACATGTTGTAAATTTTTGATAATTGTTCTTTCAAAAGTAATGCAAAAGACTAAGTTTTTGTATATTAAATAAAGAACAGCATGTACATCTTTTTTCTCAGTAGGTGCTTATGCAATTTGTTTTAAATTACAACTAACAAAAGTTTATATTTTTCGATGAGATCATAACTAATAGCATCAATAAGAATTTGACGATTTGTATAATGTGGACCAAATTTATGTAAAGCTCCATCTTCAATATCTTGAATCATAGCATTTGGTAATAATGGAATACTATATTCATCTGGAAAAGGTATATCAGTATTTGCACTATTATCACATTGATTATATGTTGAATTATTAGTAAATGATTTTGGTAAACAATCAGCTGATGATTCAGTAGCAAAAGTTGATGAATGAGAATTTGTTGTAACAATAGTTGATAGTTGAGAATTTGTTGTAATAACAGATGATGGTTGAGAATTTGTTGTAATAATAGATGATGAATCAGCACATTCAGTTAAAATATCATGATTTTGTTTAAATAATTTTTCTCGTTCTTCTAAAAAGATTAATTGTTGTTTAAATTTCGGTATTACTGTTGAAATTCTCTCGACATTGTTCATCATTTTGAGAGTCATACCATCAATATCATATTCTAAAAGATAAATAAAAATAGTTATATTTTGGTGAAATGATGATTTTAAAAATGTTTTTCTATATTTGAAACGATAACTTGACAAATCCAGAAAAATAAAATGAGTGCTTTTTCTATATCATGTAAATGAAAAAATAAAAAAAATAGAAAAAAACATACAGTAACACAGGAAAAATAATCATAGCTGTTTTAATCAAATATATAATACTTCAAAACAAATATCCAAAATAAAATCATATAACGTGATAGGTAATGAATCTTGATAATTTTCTTTTAATTATTCTCAAGGGGAAACCTCTAAAAGATTTTGTTCTTCTAGTCTACAAAGTAGAAATATTAAAACCTCTAATCAAAAGATGAAAATGGATACGAAATATAATCTTTTTGATATCCAATCTATCTGTACTACTGTTATAATCTAATACTTTATAACGAAATCTATAAGATAAATAAAATGGAGAAAGATTAATCGAATTTTAACGACGAAATTATAAGAAATTAAAATAAGATATGAATTTTGAAATATTATCTATTCCATACTCTCACTGATACGAAGTGAGACGGCCAGTAAATGAAACAAAACTTAAGTCCTTCACATGGTAAATATCCAATCCTTTATAATAATATTTCAATTGACATGGATCAAGGATGGAATAACGATCAACCGACTTGATTTCCCAAGCAAATAAATCTTCATCGAAGGATACAGTATTAAGTAAGTCTACCAATAACCACCATTTTTCATTCATTTTAAGAATAAAAATTACTTGGGCAAATAATGGTTGTTCATTATCACTTCTCAAGTTGATTACATATATAGCTGATCGGCAATATTCGATGTTTTCATTAATTAATTTATTACATTGAAATAAATCATTGTCCAAATTAATATAACCAAAATGATTGAGTAAAATACTTTTCATTGACATATTAAAAGATGAGTTTGTAATTTTTTTTATACCTACAGAGTAGTAAAAACTTTTAAGTCGGGATAAACGGGTGAATTTCAAACATTGCTTGAGACGAAAGTGTGTTGCAAGCATTTTCGGTGTATTCTTGAAATTATTTGTTCTTGTTGCAAGTTTTTTGAAATAAGCATGACATGCTTCATATCTGAAACACCATTGGCGAGTAGCTGGACCATAGTCATGTATTATTTGCTCATATTCACGAATAAAATGAGCTTTTGGCACAATTTTATTTGGAAAATGTATTAACATCGTTTGATGAAATGTATCACATAATTCACCAAGTACAGGCAACCATTTTTTTCTGAATGGGTATGATAAAACTAGATCTAATATTTCACGTAGAATTTTGTAAACAATAAATGATGGTAATTGACCAATTATATCGTGAAAAATGATAGGAAAAAGTTTAAAAATACACAATTTTTGAGCAGCCGTCGCAACGATACGTTCATTTTGTAAGTGCTTCACTTGAATAGGTGGTGGTCGATTGGTGGTGTCAAAATATCCGTATTTAAAATTGGTCATACGTTCTTGAATACGGGCTTGAAAGATGAAAGAAAAAGATAAGTGCGTTGCAATACTCGAGATTCGTTAGTAAACGAATATCAAACTATGTTTTATCGTGCTTTTTATACAAAAATGTACCATTATTCAAAAAGTGAATCAATTTTAATTAGTTACAGATGCGCATGTTTAAATATATCCTCCTCAGCTTTACTTAATTCAAATCGACTCTGAAGAATTTAGTAAGAGGCCATTATTTTCTGGTTATTCGGTAATTTCTACAAGATAAGAAGCTACAATCATACGAAAAATAAGGATATACAAATTCTACAAAAGCTTTGTTCAATGCATCAGAAAGTCGTATATCTATTGAAACATTTCTCGTCTTTTATTTTAGTAATTCACTCGAAGTGAAAATGAAAAGAAAAGATTTTTAGGTAAGTTACATCGAGACTATTCTGATATATTTTCCACTAAACTTTATAAAACTACGATAAGCAGTCACAGAAAAATAATTAAAATCGATTCACATTCAACAATGTGTACCTCAATCGATTATCATCATTTTTCTCTCTTACAAAATGACTTAACTGGATAAAAGCATAAGAAGTAAAGGTTAAATCAATTTTAATTCAGTTACGAAAGAATCTAGACAAATGGTTACGACAAAAATTTATACGATAATCCCAATTAAAGAATTATTTCTCACCATGTGTTATAAGACGCATTGATGAAGCTTGTTTTAATAGATACATTATTACCATCGGACAAATCCCCTCAAGAAAATCGTGCATACAATCGCCAGGTAAAGCTGTTGTTGAATGAAAATTAATAAGATCATGTAATGGACTTTGACGGATCACGCCCATCAAAGGTGATTTATTAGGTTCATTTGAAATCTTTTCAACTAATTCATCATGATCAGTCATCGTTCGACTTTTAATTTGTGATAAAGGAATTGGCAAACTCTTGTCTGCATAATTAATATAGCACCTTCGACAAAAATAGCCGCTATTAAAACAAGATTGAAAACCACCTAACCAGTTAGCTGCCAGATTATCTGCAACGACAGTTGAGAATGTAAATTTAAAATGAATACCATTAAGCACAAGACCATTAAGTTGTAATTCATTTAAATTGTCGATAATTGGTTGAAAGAAGCGTTTTGCCTTGATGTTGTTCTCAAAAAATGGAAAATTTCTGATGGTATAGTATTGTTGTTTTTAAACGAGATTTATCAAATTAAGATCTTATCCAGTTTGTTATATATAAAGAGGGAAGACCAACGGAATTTATTGTTTTCAACGAAAGCAAATAAATGCGATTTATTCGAAGAAAAAAGCAATTTTATTTTATCTCAAAATGATTGAAAAATTTCTTATTGACAAAACTGCTATTTATCATTCAAATTTTGTGGAACTCACGTATATTTTCGAAGAAAATAGTGAATGTGAGTTTTAAGTTCGAGTTTTGGCGGCTCTCCCCGCCTTCACCTGATTACAGATACTTCGCAAAGTAGGCCCCCATTACAGACCTCAGCAACTGCGTACAAAAGGCTCCAGATTTCTTTAACAATAAAAAAACGAGTTGAACAATATGGAGAATATGAGTTCGACTGCTACACAATATTTCAAGACTTTCATACTTATTTGAAAAAAACTATTATACGTTTGTTAAAGTTCTTAATAGTGTAATCGTTGACTTTTTTACAATTTAAAATTGTATGCTAAAAATCAAGTATGAATAATAGTAATATATATTGATCTGTCATAGCACTCATATAATCAACATGAGAAGCATGATTCGATCTTTTTATCAATTTGAAAAGTAAATAATATCATCATTTACGCATTGATTGAAATATATAGTAGGGTGATAAGAGCTACTGATGCATATAAACTGCATTATTATAATACTCTTATTTATGAAATAGTCAATGGTGAAAAAAATTAATAATCTCAAATAAAAAAAATAACAAAAAAATGATTATTATCGAGTGTATAGCAACAATTATAAATGAAATCGGATGCGCTCAAATGAAAAAGACATTTTCTTTTTTAAATGTCGAAATAAATAATAAATTCTGGCTCTTCTCATCGATTATTAGTGAAAACAACTATAGTCGACAAGAAATTTTCCGGTTTACAAATGATGTATTAGGATAACAAGGTTGAAGGATATATGTGAGTTCCACATTTCAGCTCCAAAGGAGCTGCACTAACAAGCTTTTTCATGAGAGTTTTTACTTTTAGAATTCTACTTTCACAAACACCAACCAACTGAATAAAATCGAGTTTTGATCGATATTGATCTGGTATGTCTTCAAGTGTAAAGTAAATCATGGACATCTTGTGTCGATCACGTTTTGATCCTAAAGGATTTGTTAAGCCAATATCATCAAGATATAATTGAATTAATAGATGATCATTATCTAATCTTAAACCATGATAACCATCTCTAATTGAAAACATCAAATCAGCATCGAAATCCGTTACTGATTGTTGGTGGCGAATATTTTCAAGAATTTTAAGAGCTAGTGGTTGAGAATTCAACATTGAAGATAATGTTTTGTCAATAGGGATAAAATATCCACAGTCAGCAGCTTCACCAGCAGATGATACAACAATTTCTTGAACTGCACTATAGCCAAAATATTTCTCACAATGTCTTACAAATTGATATTCATTTTTAGTTATGGATTCAGTTGCATTGCGTATATCATCGAATAGATGTTCTAATTGATCAAATTCAATAGCTTTTTTATTTCTATTTCGAGAAGATGGTAAATCAGATGAATGACTATCTATAGAACAATTGAAAGTTTTTTTTCCTGATAAAATTTGAATACGATGTATTAATGTTGTAAAGTAACTCGAAATAACATTCATGACATTTTTCGGTAATAAAAATTCTTCACGTAATTGTAGAATAAATAAAACATATGATTTTTTAATATCATCTATTGAACCTATAGTTTCTTCATTATTATCAATTGAATTAAATGATGATGTGTCATTATATAAGTAATCTTTTGATGAGATTAATTCTGGATCATCATTGACAAAATCTAATGGATCGTTGTCATCAGCATTCATTCGGTTAGCATCAATATCAAAACTTGTATTTTCTTTTAGTTGATTATCATTCGGAATTGTACTGTTATTGTGTTTTTCTGCTGAATGAAGTTCAGTTAAGTGCTTTCGATATATATGTGATTTATATGCCAAATAATTTCGATATAAAATACCACATGTACTGTGCAAATCACATGTAATTTCATAATGCGGTTCATTTTGATGATAAAGTGTAATGTGTCGGAACATTTTAGCAAAACTCGAAAAATCTCGATGCGTCAAGCAAAGTAGACAGGTAAATGAAGACATGAGATTTTGTCTCTGTGGAACAGTTTAAGATAAAAAGCGTTATTAGATTTATATATATCAACTGAATAAATATATTAGTTTTTGTTTAGTTGTTTACTTTACGATTCTTTCTCGAACAAGCTTAATACACAAAGAATCTATAGCTAATATAAACCAATGGATTACAAACGCCACTAAATGTTCAATTCTATTCTTTCACATAAACATGCGCTCCTACTTTACTGAAAAAAAATTTCTAGTTATATTACATTAAATTTGAATTTCTAACGCGCATTACGAGATATCCAACACAATTAAATATTTAGTACTAGATTCAACTAGTGAAAAAAACATGCATTTCTTTAATAAATAAAAATAGACTGACCTTTGATTCGAGATAAAACTACATCGTCGTCGATGAAAGTTTTGCACCAACGAACAACATCTTCGCAAGACCAGTTCATTGTTTGATAATTATAAAATATATGAAATTCTAGAAAAGAAATATGTATAACTATCCACACAAAACACTATTACTAGAATACTAAAAGATAAACAATTCTATACAAAAAAACATCATTAAAATTTTGTTCTTCTTCCATTCAATGGTCTATTATTACTGTTTATTTCATCTAATAAAAGTACGACTCGATAGATAGCGATAGTGATCAGCAATGTCAAAGGTCCGAAAAATGTCCACTTTACCTACAGGCCTCGCAAAGCTCCTTCTTTCCTTCTTTTTTCCTTTTTTTTAAAGATCATCCTTCTT